TTTACATCTGTATGCAGATATTGTGTTCTGAGGACTGAAGGCTTGGTTTCAGATTACTATGTAAACTAAAAGATTGTTCTTTAATGACACGGTATGTTCGTGTCTAAAGAGCTCCTTGTCTTGTTTGCTTTTCTCTAAGCATGTAAGTCTTTAAAGCTGCAAATAAAGCAGATAAATCTGTCAAAACATTTTTTATAGATGTTGCACATCAACTGAATTTTGAAACAAGAAAAAGTTGCCAGAGTTGTTGATTAAAGTTAGATTTACAGAGAAGAGGCTAAAACCCTAAAACTGCATGAAGGAAATGTTATCATTGCTATAACTTCTCACTGTAAACAAAGTTAAAAATTACACAAATTGGTAGATTAACCATCAGTTTAATAATTCCTGATTGCATTGGAATGTATTTATTTACACACATTATTTGATTTATGGCTAAACAAGGCATTATGGTGATATATTGTTGATTGACAGCAATGGTTTTGTGGACTTTAAAGGCAGTTTAATATTCAAAAGATCTTCAACCAAAACACTTGATATGTTCAAGAAAACAGTTACAAGATAAACGGATGTCTCAGCTCTTATACTGTAAGTTTATTTGTTTATAAGATGGATACCATCAAGTTTTAATCTCCTGCTGAACGTGAACAAATGAGGCTATTTTGAAAATATTATATTTTAAATGTCAATCGTCAAAGGAGCATGTCACGTTCAAGTGCACCACATGTTTTACAGATAAAGTTAGCTCAGTTGTCAACTCAACAAGAGAACAAAATGTTATTAAATGTCCAATTTAGGTATAAATGTGCACACTCTGCAATGTTTTTTTTTTTGTTACACTGATATACAGTAGCACAGGGAAAACATTCCCTCATTGTTTATTTCTTTATATTGTGCACACTAAAATCCATATCAAGTTTTTATTTTCTAAATAGTATAATATAAAAGGCTGTGTCTGTTAATAAAACCCTCACTTGCATTCAAACTAATTCAAATTTCTGGATTAGAAGTCCTACTTAAGGACATACCAAATCTCCTCTGACAGCATTTGACCTCACATAACTGCAGTTTTGAATGCAAGATAACATCTATTCATCTATCTAATAAAGGCAGAGAATGACTCGAACCTGGCATAAAAACAGCACCATCAGGATGTTATTTTGCAGATGCATTACACAGTACGCTCAGGGCTTGAGGAATCTTTCTTTCTCATTTGTTCATAAGAAAATATTACCACAACTGATATGGCAAAAGGATTGTTCTCAAATTGTGCTGAGACAATGTGTAATCTTTCATTAACACCAGGATGAAGTGTCCTTCAGGAAGTGCACAAGGTAATCTAATACAGTTTCTACTTTTGAATGTGTTTTTTATACAGAAAGGAAGGTAAAAATAAACATGTTTTAAGTACACATAATTTTTATGATCAGATACATAAAGTTCCTAAGTAAAAATGTATTTCTTTCTCCGTATGTATTGTAGCAATAAGAAGGGATGAGATGGAGGAAGAAGGGTGACACTTTCTCCACTCCCCTCCACTCCACTTATTTTATTTACTTAGCTCTTGTTAAAGTGGGGCACCGGCTGGTCAGTTTACTGACCAACAACAGCTTAATTAATACATTCACCCTTTAATAATCAGAAGCAGTCACTGAAGTAGAATCCGTTAATAACAGGGACTTCTATACCAGAACACATGAATATTCATCCGAATGAAGAGACCAAAGTTGTCTTTGAAGTTTTATTACAAAAAAATCAAACTAAAAATCAACAACAACAATAATAAACAAACAATAATAATGTATCAATTTAAAGCAAAATTCACTCTTTGAGCAGGAATTATTTCAGTTTTGTACGTGCATGAATTTAGACAAAGTTTGACTATTTTAATAAATAGTTTACTTTGGATTTTGGAAGAAAGAAGTTATTTAATCTGATCAGATAAAGTCATTTATTATCACACTGCAAGCCAGAAAATGATTGACCATCAGCTTAAAATAGCATAACCAGACCAAGACATCATGTCACCAGGTTTCTGCTCCTTACCGGGTCAGTGTTGAAGGCACCAGGTCACTTGTCTTTCTGGGGGTTCTCTGGTGGATCAAACCAGGATACACCATGAGGAGGACTCGCCGGGAACCGCCCAAGGTAGCTGACCATCACTGTGACAGCTTCAGGGGCCTGTGAGGGCAACAGTTGATGAGAAGGTGCCGTCCATCGCAAACTTCAGCCGAGAACGTGAGTCTTGCAGTGAGAAAAGGCTTCATCTTCTACAATTATTTACTTCTAACAATTGTAACTGAGCAACATTTTTATCTGCTCAGGAAATGAACGAGTGGACATTGGCACGACCTCTAGGATCGGGTCCACAGACGAACTGCCTTCCGGTTCAGGGCCGGAGATGATCTCTCCGCATCAGGAATCCAAAACGAACCGCTCAGTTCGTGGGTCCAAGGCAAACTGCTTTTCACACAAAGGATTTTTATGCAAAACAACAGCTCTCTGCTCAGGATTATTTTGACTGCTCTCAGGGACACCATGACCTCCCCTCTGAAGAAAACACCTTCTAGCTCAAAGAACATTTTCACAGGTGTCTCTGAAGGAATAATCACTTTCTGAAAAACAGAACAGAGAAATATATTATTCACATTGTAATATTTCACACTATTTCATTATGATTGAAAACAACAATCAAAATTATTTATGTTCACACTTGTTAATCAAATAAAACAAACTTCATTAATGATTTGTTTTTCTTTCTTAGAAACATAGGAAAAATAAGGTGAACTTGTCAGACTTTAGCTGACTCTGTGTCCAAGGATGAGAAATGTGTAGAAAAACATCAGACATTATTGAAGTCAGAGATAACTTTAAAGAACACAATTTATGGTGAGTCTGAAAGATGAATAAGGGTCAGGGATCACAGTTAGAGCAGTGCAGCTTCATGCTACAGTGTGTGTGTGTGGATAGATGGCTGGCTGGATGGATGCCTGCATGGATGTGGTCGGCTCTCTTGCTCGGGGTAGTGGCGGTGGGCTCCAGACAGAAGCCGGACCTATGGCTGCAAGTCCCTTCTCGTAAGTCTTCGTGGACAGGCTACCAGCTCACAATGGGTCTGGAGGTCTGGTTCTGTGTAGGTCTTGAGCTCTGAAGCGCTCCAGATGGCCAGCACGGGACCAAATTGAGTCCAAATCTGGATGAAAAAAACTCCCGGTGTGCTCCAGAGGGAGCGCCGAGCCTACGGCAGTGCATTCTCCGCTCTGAAGTCCTCGTGGGCTGGCTAACACCCCTCAGGATCGCCATTGGGTTTGGGGGTCTGGTTCTGCTCCAGTTCTGGTCTGGTTCCGTGCAGTTTTCTAAATCCACTGTGCACCAAAATCTCTGTAAAGGATCAAACTTTTTGTATCTAATCAAAACTTTCCCTCTCCATATTTCATTTGAAGGCAACAGGGTTTCTGGGCGGGGCACACCCTGGACAGGTCGCAAGTCCTTCACAGGGATTAGTGATTCATCTTTTAACTTATTTATGATTATGGGGCGAGTGAGAGAGTAAATGGTTGTTTGTCTCCTTTGTCTCTATGTGGCTCTGTGATGGACTGGAAACCTGTCCAGGGTGTACCCCGCCCCTCGCACAGTGATTGCTGGACATGGGCACCAGCGACCCCTGTGACCCAAAATGGAATAAACGGGTAAAGAAAATGGATGGATGGAATATTTTAGTGGTATTTCACTGAACTTTTGTCTCCCATGTAACTGTGTTAATCTGGAGTTTGTTTCAGAATTATTGTCACATCTGTGTTTCTGTGTGTTTAGTTTTTTCTGTATTTGCTTCTGTGTTATTTGTGTTTTAGTTTCTCCTGTCTTTCTGTCATTTGTCATTTCTCCCTGTCAGCCTTTTCAGTATTTTTCCTCAGTCTGCTACCTTCACCTGTTCCCAATCCTAATCACCCCAGGTGTTTGTCATTTTGTCTTGTTAGTGTCCCCTTAAATATCTTGACGTTTTGTTTTTCCCTCGTCCATGGATTGTGCTTCCCAAACCCTCTGTTTTTGTAAGTTTCGCTGCCACGTCTGTTTTTTGTTTTTGTGTTTTGTTGAATAAATCAGTTTTCTTTATTTTACCCTTGAGTTCCTCATGCCAGTCTGCACTCTGGGTTCAACACTTTGCTAAACATGTTAATTATTACTTCTAATCAAATTAGAACCAATTCAGAAAGCTGTGCACCTGCCGGCTGGAGATGGGAGGTGTCCGTTTCTCTGATTTATACTGTTTTTCCTGAAATAACCTCAACCTATGGGAGGGAGACAAAGGGCAAATACTTTGTTGACACACACAAAAACAACAACAATAAATTGAATATTAAGCAACATATACACGCATTCTTTTACATAAAAATGTGACACAATTTGTAAAAAAAAACCCAGTTAATTAATGTCTGCCCCACTAATTTTTGCTCAGGAGCCACCACTGTAGATAATACTGCATGCATCTGTAACACAAAGTAACAACAAAGTAACAAAGACTGACAAAGACTTTGGTTTTGAACCAGTTTGACACAACTGTCGATGAGGAAGAGGGCCGGTTCCAGAGGAGGGGCATGCCAAAGACACCATCTTAGCACAAACATAACTGGTTTGTTCCACTTTGGAGTAAGCTGTTTGGGGGAAGAATCAGTTTTGCGTTGTGTGTTTCCTTGACTGATGAAGCCTTCCGGATGGAAGGTGAAACGTTTCAGAAAAAAAAAGAAACTGTCCAGAGGACCTGACTGAAAATTGTTGGATTGTATACCTGGATTATTGAGCATGGACGTTTTTGGTTAACAAAGATTGAATTAATAACTTTGGGTTTTCTCACTTTTTATGTCTCCTCAGATGATCTGGAAAAGTCTTGGTTTGCCATGTTAACAGTTCAACCATTAACTGAAAGAAGAAGAGCCCTGCTGACCTTGACAAACAGGGCCTAAACCCCCTCAGCATTCAGCATTCAACCTTGTATACCAGAAATGGGAAAAGTCTACTATATCAATAAAAATGTTGGCCTTGGAATGCTCATACTAGCTATCAGCATGCTGATTACAATAATAGCTCTCTCCATTGCCTATGACAAGGACAGGGTCAAGAATCAAGGTCAGCTTGGAAAAGGAGCTTCAGAAAGCAGCAGCACATCTCCCCCCTTCACAACCCCCTTTACATCAAAGGAACCCTGGGACTATTATAGACTTCCAAAGTCCCTCATCCCTGAATCTTACAATGTGACCCTGTGGCCCCAGCTGCAGCCCAACAAAGATGGGATTTACATTTTTACTGGACATTCAGATGTGATCTTCAAATGTATGAAAGAAACAGACCTGATCATTATCCACGCTAACAAGCTGAACTTCACCATGGTCCTTGGGAACCATGCTGAACTGAGAGGCCGAGATGAAGCCACTGTACCTGCCGTACAGAAGACTTGGCTTGTGGTGAGGACGGAGTATCTGGTTATTCAGCTGAACAGGAAACTAACTGTGGGAACGTCCTATGTGCTTCACACTGAATTTAAGGGGGAGCTGGCAGATGACCTGCAGGGATTCTACAGGAGTGAATACATAGATGATGGAGTAAAGAAGTAAGAAATGATACAGTAACATTGTTCATTATTTAACTGTGATGTCTAATTTTTATGGTTCCAGTTTTCTTGAAGGGATTTCATGTTTTGTTTATGTTCAACTGGAACATTTTTCAGAGTTCTTGCTACCACTCAGATGCAAGCAACATATGCCAGGAAAGCCTTTCCTTGCTTTGATGAACCAGCCATGAAAGCTATCTTCAATGTCACCATCATTCATGACCGAGGCACAGTGGCTCTCTCCAACAGCAAGGAAAGGGGTTTGTTATAGATTATTACCAGTTTGAAGATATCATAAGACTATATACAGTGATACATTAATAATGGTACCAGCATGCCAAGGTCCAATGTTTTGTTTCTTTGTACAGATTATTCAGACTCAGTCATTGATGGTGTTCCTGTCAGAGTTACAACTTTCGAACCCACAGAGACTATGTCCACTTATCTGTTAGCCTTTCTCGTCAGCGAATTCATTTCCATTCAGTCAAGCCAAAATCATTTGTTGGTGAGGAATATAGTCTTTGCATTTAACCTATATTAACATTATCAGTGGTGCTTTCATGTTGCTTTATTAGTGTTTTAAATCACCAACATCAATGTGCGCCACCAGGACATATATTTTTTAAATGTATTTTGCAGATTCGAATTTGGGCTCAAAGAAAGGCCATAGCTGACGGGCAGGGTGAATATGCTCTTAATGTGACAGGGCCCATCCTTCAGTTCTTTGAGAAATACTACAATACTACTTATCCACTCTCAAAGTCAGGTAGGTAAAAGGTATATCAATGTTTTTGCAGCAAGGCAGAACTTTTTTTTCTTTTTTCTCATTGAGTCCAGAAGATCTGATAAATAACATTTTCTTCTACCTGTGGAAACATTGCATATGCTGTCAGTCAGTTCTTCATTGTACTGTTTGAAAATATGGTTAATATTTTGGCTCAATATAGTTGATATCTTGGCACACTAATAATATGGTTGATATCTTGGCACACTAGCTAAATAATCATTCTTACAAGTAAAACATTTGTTTGTACTTTTGTGTAACTAGCCATCAAAGTGGTGCGCTAGTAGCCTGAAAATCTCAACTTGTAGACTTTTTAAGTACCAGCAGACCATTGGACCAAACTACTACTTGTCTGTGTCACACTAGTTAACTAGCTAGCGAACATCAAAAACCCACATTTGTTAACTTATCACAAATTCTGCCTACTAGTGCTGTTACTGTCAAATGTATGGGCAAGTTTAATATAAAAACGATACTAGTCCACTAGTAAAACCTAACTTGCTTACTAATTGACAATTTAAACATTATGTAATCTTAGTACTTAACTGATGCAGTCGGAAGCTGTTATTAGTTAACTAGAAAGTCTAAAATGTTTACTATTTGACTGGTAAAACTCAAAATAATCACTGGGTGATAAGTATAATTAATTTAGGCTTGAATTAATAATGATTAAAATGCATAATAGTTGACTAGATAAGTATTTATTTTACGTTGCCTAGTGCAGTGAAAAAGTTCCAGTTCACCAGTGCACCCTAAATGGACACTTGTTAATTATTAAGGTCCAAAATATAGCACTGTTTGTGAGAAGAACTAGTTAGACTTATTTTGGCCTCACTAGTCGGCCAGTAAAACCTAAATTGCTCAGTAGCTGAGCAACTGAAGCCTATTATAGCCTGACTTTTGAACTAGAACTAATGAAAATGTGTACTAGTTAACCAGAGTTAACTTTCATTGTCACTGTCACTGTAACTGCAGTAACCCATTAAGAGGGTTAGTTTGCTGGCTTGTTTTGACAAGATGACATATCTCAGTTCATGATGACCATGCTGTGTGAGGGTGTTATGGTTGAGGTTTTTAAAGACTTTTAACTTGACTGAATCTTTAACGTTTGCTCTTGGTAGATCACGTTGCACTGCCCGATTTCAATTCTGGAGCAATGGAGAACTGGGGTCTGGTGATGTATAGAGAAACAGGCCTGCTGTATAACCCCCTGCTGTCCTCCACTGGAAACAGAGAGAGAGCCACAACTTTGATCTCCCATGAACTTGCACACATGGTATGTCACTGTCTCTAAGTGTCATAGTAAAGTACAATGATACAGTACAATACAAATTTATTCATAAAGCACTTTAAAACAACACCGTTGGCCAAAGTGCTGTATACACTAATACAAGCATAAAAAAAACATAAAATCAGCAGATACCATAAAAGTAATGAACTACTAAATCACAAAAGAGCAAACAGTAAAAACAATAAAAGAAAATAACTTAAAAACAGTAAAACCAACATTTCAAGCTGAGTTAATTGTCAAAGAGAAAAAATGTGTTTCCAGAGAAGATTTAAAAACAGGCAGTGAGTCAGTTTGTCTGATGTGCAAAGTCACTCGGTCACCTCTCGGCCTCCTGTTGGACTGTGGGACAACCACCAGCAACTGATCTGCTGACCTGAGAGAATGTGAACAGACAGCTGGAGCAGGTCAGACAGATCCTGTGGGACGAGACCACGAAGACATTTGAAAACAAATAAAAGAACCTTAAAATTAAGCTGGAAACAAACTGGGAGCCAGTGTAGTGATTCTAAAACAGGGGTGATGCGCTCTTGTTTTCTGGTACCAGTTAAAAGGCAAGCAGCAGCATTCTGAAACAGCTGGAGTTGAGTCAGTAATGACTGGCTCAGACCAACATGAAGTGCTTTACAAAAGTCCAGACAAGTTGTGATGAAAGCATGGATTAAAATCTCAAAACGATGATTTGGCAGGAATGGTTTCACCTTGGCCAGTTGTCTCAAGTGATAAAAGTTGGACTTGATCACTGATTTAATCTGAGCATCCAGTTTAAAATCATTGTCCAGCCTCACACCCAGTTTAGTTGCTGTCTCAGTCAGATGTTTTGTTAAAGTACCCAGATCAGGATGGACTTCGGAACCATCACTGGACTTAAACAACAAGTCCTTGGTCTTTTTCTCATTAAAATATAAAAGTTATGTGACATCCATGCTTTGACTTCTGCCATACATTCCAGGAGTTGGTTCAGAAAGCAAGCTTTCTGGTAAGTCTTTCACTAATTCAGTATAATTACTCTTATTGCGCTAAACTCAACTAATTCAGGCCAAAATGAATGTTTACTGAAACTTCGGTTGCTTAATTTTATTTTCATTCATTCAACCTTTATTTATACAAGTTAGTCTCATTGAGCCACGAGGACTCATTTACAAGAGAGACCTGTTCCAGACAGAACATATAAAGTACAGACAACAATAACAATAAACAATAACAACAATAAACTACAGTAAAAAATACAGTTAAAATAAAAGTAATGGTATAAAACAATAAATCAAGGTGCTGTAAAACAAGGTAAAATACTAATGCTTTATATATTGTATTGGTTATTAATGTTTAGGAACTTTTGTGTGAAATCTTTTTATCTTTTTATCTCTTGCTGCTGTTACACTTGAATTTCCCATCTGTGGGACAATAAAGGCTGTTTCTATTCTATTCTATTCTATTCTATTCTATTCTATTCTATTCTATTCTATTCTATTCTATTCTATTCTATTCTATATTTGCTTTGATGTTTCTATTGACCTTATTTAAAAACCCCTAAAGATATCAAAGTGGACAACTCCAGTTCTTGTTGCAAGGTGTTCCAGGTTGCAGGAGCAGAGTAAGAAAAGGCCTTTTTGCCAAGTTCAGTCCACACTGAAGGAACGCTGCAGGTAATGATGGCCTGAGAGTGCATGTTGTAACTGCAATGATGACGTGACATATGGGAGGAGATTTAAGAATGTAGCAGACCAAGGAGGGATTTATACATGAAAATGAACCAGTGTGAGAGCCTATGTGTAGATAATGATGACCAGCTGAACAATGAGTACTGAGTGCAGTGATGGTACGGTAGTTACAACCAGTTATGAATCTTAGCGTGTCATGGACAGCATCCAACAGCTACAAGGAGATGGCAGGAGCATTCATGTAAATAATGTCACCTTAGTCAGTGACCAGTAGGAAGGTAGCGGTTACATGGTGTTTTCTGACATTCAGAGTTAAGATCTATTTCTGAAAAGAGCCAAACCATTTTTTTCTATCCCTGATGTCTGCTTTTTTTCTAGTGGTTTGGAAACCTGGTGACTTTGCGATGGTGGAATGACTTATGGCTGAATGAGGGCTTTGCTTCATACGTGGAGTACCTTGGTGCTGACTATGCTGAGCCCACCTGGAACATTGTAAGATCAACTATTGCACCCTCACAGACAGCTTTGACACATTTCTTAAAAGATTCTCAAGTTGTCAAGATATCTTTGGCTCAGGAAGCCTGTCCTGATTCTCCTCTCCACTTGGATACAGAAAGACTACATCATTCTATATGATGTGCAGAAGGCGTTTGCTGTAGATGCTCTGGCCTCCTCTCATCCTCTGTCCCGAAAGGAAGAGGAAGTCAATGAGCCTGCTGAGATCAACGAAATGTTCAACACCATTTCCTACAATAAGGTGAATTTCCCACATTACTTCTGCTTTATGCAAAGTCTAATGAACCTATAGTTCATCAGTTATCATTTTCTCTTTCTGCATTTTTAACAAAATTATTGACAACATAGATGCATCTAGAGCTTAAATGATGAAAAGAGGCTTCATTAAAAGTTCTGAGTTAGGCCTTGCTTGATTTTACCTGAAATGTTCTGTTTTGAAGAATATGAAAAGTTGTGATTTTCACAAACACAGAAACGAGTAACGACGTGTAACAATGCATTTTTATAGCTGCTTCCAGTTGGTATTTTATTTTTGAGAATTTGTTGTTTTCAGGGCGCTGCAGTGCTGAGGATGCTGTCAGAGTTTCTCACTGAACCTGTGTTTGCTAGTGGAATCAGTGTGAGTATAAAGTAGGATATAAAATCCCATTATCTGAGTACTATTGTCACCCTGTATGTTTTTGAGTGTTTTTGCATACTGGTGTTTTACTGGTTGTTTAGTTTAACCACAGGATTGTGCAAGGCCTTCCTGTTGTTGTTGGGATTTATTGTTTCCTGTTTGAAAGTTATTTGCTGATTTTTCAAAAAGCGTTCAGTACAAAAACAACTGGACTTTATTTGTAACAGAAGACGTTTCGCTCCTCATCCGAGGAGCTTCCTCAATTCAATGATCAGTGAGTGAGAGATTCAGGTTATAAGGCTGAGTGAGATAAGACACACACACACA